AAAAAAAAAAAAAAAAAAAAAAAAAAAAAAAAAAAAAAAAAAATCCAAGGTGCACTTCATGTCGCGCATCGGCAAGTAGATTTAACTGACACATATATATTTTTCGTAGATGTCATGCGTATTCCAACAGCAACTCGTAGACAAAAAAATGAATTGGATTCCAATCGATAGCCATCAAAATTTATAAGAAATCTCAGACTTTGTATTATATTTTATATTCCAACACGCAGAAGAGAGGGAACGATTATAAAAATCAAACACGCCGATTTGTTCTGTATATTGTCACGTACATACATTTTTATGCTCCTTTCCTCGAATTTATGTCGTCCATCAATCGATCCTTTTCTTTTGTAATGAGTGTTAAAACAAAAAGAAAAAAAGAAAAATTATAAAAATAACAAAGAACCAAAGAGTCGATCGATGGCTCGAATGTTCTTTTCATCATTGTTCACTCCTTCATAGTAGATACAATTTTTTCAAGTAAAAAGTAAATCACCTTTTCTCCACAGCAAAAAAAAAAATTAACGAATAATAGTTTGAAAAAAAGATTTAAAAAATCAAAACTATTGTTTTTTTTTCTGTTTTGTGTTACCCGCTTCTTATGTTAAATGGACGCCACACCTTCATTGATCGATAAATAAACCCTGGTTCACTAACTCTATCTGGTTATTCTGTTCCCTGCGCAGACTTGGAAGGTAATTTTTCATCCGTTAACCATATGAATATACCTAATTAAAAAAGACCTCGAAACTATTATCTACTCTAAATTTTTTGACAAAGGCAAATTACAAATTTTCTCTCGATCAAATTTTTTTTCCTTACTATAGATAAATAACAATGCAAATGCATAATAAAACTGAATAAAAAAAGTATCCACAGCAAAAGACAAAAAAAAAAGTAAAACAAAAGTCAACTGCACTTTTCAGCTTACGAAGGAGCAGAGGGAGTAAACATACAGTTCTTCTGCCGAAGAATGCAAATGTGCATTCGATGGAGCGGAGCTATATATTCGTGTGTATGAGTACGGAAACTCCCTGCGGATAGGGGAATCGCGTATTTTTCTCGATACATCATTCGGCTCGTGCATACATTTGTACGTTATTCCTTTTTGTCTGTCGTGTTTCGCCATAATATAGAAAATATAGAGAAATGAAAAAGACGAAAATCTGAACGGTTATTTTCTAGTCTTTTTTTTCCTTATTGGAAATTATTTTGGCAAATTTTCTATACCGTTATCATTTGTATTTTCATGAAAATTAAATAAACATAACGAATCTCTAAAATTTTTCTTCTCAAACTAGACATAATTAATTTTAATGAACTTGAGGCTCAAATGTAGGGTACACAAAGTATCAAAAATTTTTAAATATTTAATTTTAATTCTAATTAAATAGTCATATTATTTTATTTATTTATTCAAATGCAGTGTTCAAGTAAAATATTTTATTAAGTTGTGTACATAAAAAAAAAGATCGAGTAAATAACATAAAAAAGTTTATTGTTTTAAATAAAGTACTTTGAAATTTTTTAATTTTCAATTTCCAAACATAGTACTTTTGTTATTATGAAATTTAGATTATTTGAAATACAGTATTCGAACAAGAAAATTTATTTACTCAAAAGCATAAATACAGTTGTATTTGATTAAAATAAATCATTAAATACACTTAGTTTAAAAAAAATGATCAATATTAACAACTTATTCTGTTAATATCGTATTTGAAATAATCTATCAATTACTTTAGTACAAATACAAATTTTGTCAATAACTCATTCAATTATTTTGGTTAGGTAAAAATGCATTTGATAATTTATATCAAATAAAACTGTCAAGTTATAACTATATTAGTATTCACATATTTGTAGTTATTATAATTTTATATGTAATTGATGTAATTGAAATAAAAAAATTTAATTTTTGGAGTCCTGCCAAATGTGTTCGAAATATTTTAATTAAATACTTTTGATATGGATTTCTTAAAATTAAAGATTTTTAAAAATAACTTTGAGCGATTCTATTAATTAATCGAGTTATTACTTCGAATCCTGGCTAGTCAACGATACATGATACAATATTTTTACATATTCTATCGAAATTACTGACGAGACGACAAAATAGAAATTTAAAAAATCCTGCCTCATCTTCAATTTCAAATGAACTTTATATATAACTACTACCTGACGGTCGTTTTACTAGAAAATACGTTTGAAAAACGGATCCAATAAGCATCAAAGAGAACCCGTAGCTCTGGAAGTCAATTACGGCTGATTAAATAACCCGCATTCAACTTCCCGAAAATCAGCCCACCTCCATTTGATTGGACAGTCATCCCACTTTCCTTTTTTTATGCTCGAAATTTAACGGAAAAGTGGCAGTAAAAATCGCTCTTCTATAATGAAAAATTCATTTTCACTTTATTGTGACACTCGTCTACGAAGTTTTTCGAAAGAATTAATTGACATTCCGGTTCCTTTGGTGGCCAAGACTCGAAAAATTGACAAACATGTTGACACAAAGTGGTGATTGGGAGGATCTGTAAGTTTTAGGAGGAAAATTCCATTTAGTTTTACAATTCAAACAGTGTTTTATCACGCAATACTTGATTTTTTTTTTTACTGATGTCTGAAGACTGAGAAAATAAGCGTCATTAAGAAAATTCAACAGCATTGTATTTTTTAAAGTACAGTTTATTTTGAAGAGTATTAGTAAACATTCAAGAAATTATTCCTCTGACTTTATTTTCCTTAAAAGATATAATGCATTATCATTGTTGGAAAAATTTCTACGCTATAAAATACATTATACTTTACGAAAAAAATATGCCCAAGTCAGAATTATCAGGTGTGAGAAGATTGGTACTTTCAGCTTTGACTTTTTTTTCTGCTTATACTTTTTTGTGAACCCCTTTAAATATCGCTTCAACCATTGCATACACAGTGAGTATACCAACCTGGAAGTATTTTGAAAAATATACGCAATAAAACTGAACTACAAGACCATCAAACGAAAGTTTCTCTGATGTAACTTTACTCGACAGCCTAACTTTACACGTGCACGTCCTTGCACTTTCAGTCGAAAAATTGTATTACATTGAACGTAAAATTACTTCTTGGGAAACGAAGTAGAAAAAAATTGTCAGTTTGGTACGACATGCACTCGATAGAGTGAAAAAAAAAAAAAAAAAAAAAAAAAATCAATTGCAAAAGTATCTGCACTCCAATATGACTACATTAAACCCTTAAAATCAACATGATTGTTTAAACATGTTCAGTTGAATCTAGCTGCTAACATTTTTTTTTAAATAATGTAAAAAAATTATTCTCTCAAAACGTACCTACTTGAATTTAAATTCCAGGTTGATTCGATATAATTTATTCGGTTTAGAAAGATTTCAACGTTCATCGATCGATTTCGGTTAGGAAGTTCCAAATTTTCTCATTTATTGCCAAATCTTACTTGTTCCTCATTGTCTTCTAGAATTAAAAAGAAAAAATATTCTAAGGTCCCTTTTGACCGGCAAAAGAATGTCTAGGTTAAAATTTTTTGCTAAAATACCGGCAGCCGGCTTATTATACAAACGAGAAGGCAAAGAAGGCAAGACTGCACTTCTGGAATTTCGCAAGAACGAGCAATGTCGCTGGCAGGAAATTCCGGGGACGCGTACACACGCGTTCCCTCCTTTGTACGTAAAAAAAGAAGGAAAACATCAAGAATATTCGAAAAAAAGACATTGTTTTCGCACTGCGTGGATTCCTGGCGCTTCCACTATTTAGCATCTCAGGCTTTTTGCTGAGAAAAATCTGACGAAGGGAGAAAGAGGCGGGGTTATTTCCCGGATCCCGGTTTCGGAATCGAATGAAAGCCACCGTCGGAACGAGGTGGAATACGAAAAATCTGATCTCGCGCGGTGCGAGAAATCGCGTCGTTTGGGAAGGGAGGAAATACCAAGCCGCGGATTGTATTGGGGACGCGACTGATTTTTGAGACGTATGTACGTGAGGTTCGGAAAAATTCGATCATGATTTCTTCCTTTGTCCGCTTTTTTTTTTTTTTTTCTTGTACTCCCTTTTTGTGCTGCGGAGACGGAAATTTCCGGAGCAAATGCCATTGTTGGCTGGCAGCGGGAAAAATTTCTATAGGCTTTCCTCGACGCTGACGGAAACTAATCTACAGGCTGTAGTTTATTGCTCTGAGAAGTGAGCTCGTGTAACGAAGCTTAAATTGTTGTTGGTTTAATTTAATTTTCGATCTCTTCAAGGATTAAACAAAAAAAAAAAAAAAATGTAATGCTAATTCGAAAAAAATCGGGAATTCCCCGAAAGCCACGAAAAATTCTTTTCGCGCTTGTAAAAAAGTTAACTCTTTGTTCTCGAGGATTAGCCGCTGCCTCTGTGGTTATTATGCTTTTTTTTCTTTTTCTACCTCCTCCATCCGAAGGAGCGAAAATTGGGAAAGTTCCGTATTTTTAATTTCTTTTCTTTTCCTCCTTTTTTCGGGTCATCGCGTGAAAGTTTTCCGGCTTATTAAACGCCTCTTAAGTGCTGCATAACGCGCTTAATGAAACCTCACTTGTGCACGTGGGGGTGGACAGACGATCGAATAGCCCGCAAAGTGAAAACGAATTCAGTTTCATTCGCCAAGGTATTTTCTTGGCTTATAAACTTTAAAATTACTCGAAATGATTGAGTACCTCTTGAAAAATGATAAATACTTATTTAATTTTTGATAAAAATAAGAAATTTTTACTGGATGACTATCAAATTATGACACTGTAAAATAGCATGTAGTATTTGAATTTGGATATTTCAGTATTGGTGTTCGATGGTGGAAATGTCAATAATAATCTCATAATAAATTAATATAGTTTTTTATAAAATGTTTTCAAAATTTATTAGCCACAATACGACAAAGGATACGTATTTAATATATGCCTTATCAGTAATTTGTTGGAATCAATAGGTTTATTTTTTCAATTATCACTGAAACACAATTAATTAACAGCAACTGTTTAATTATTCTTGACTCCTTCATTCTGTTTCTAAATAAAAGCAATTCATCGTGCAATTATCACAATGAATTTCAGCCATGTATTTTGAAGTGTTTTTACTCAATTTAATTAGCCATTTAGACCAATGAACAATTTATTAAAATCATANTATTATATATTTACCCGCGAGGGCATTGAATTATTCAACATCGTAACCAACTAATGAAATTATACCAATAAAATAATCACGGGGTTTATTTTCAACTATAGACACGTATACGTTCACTCGACGATTTTATGATTATTGTGATGCTGCACCGCGCGCTTTATTGCACGTATACATATAAAATATATCAGTTTGACCAAATGGAAACGGCTTGACCTTCATTCGTCGACGCTTTGAAATTTAAAAGTATAAAATTCTCGCCGCGTCAGCGCATACTTACTTGCACGGGAGAAAATCCAAAAAAGGACGAGGAACAGCGTAGTATAAAAGATTCGAGATTTGTGCCTCCGATCCGCGTCTATATGAATAACGTACATGTATCAGCTAAAAGCCGGTAAATCTTATATATGCACAGTTGGACGTGTATATTGTCCAAGGCGCGTTGGAAATTCAATTTTTATTACACCAGCGGAACCGTAAGAATACTCGCACAAGGATCCGTCAAGCTTATTTTTAGCGGGACATTTGTGTGTGCGGTTAA